CTCCCCACCCCCGCTTCTCTCGCCTCCCCAAGTGCATGGCATGCGCATAGCCCTGAGGGGCGAGCACAGGCGGTTGGCCTTGATGCAGATAGACGGAGAGCTGTGGCGCTTCTCGTCTTCCCACTGAAACTCCACCATCCCATCATTTACCCATTGTCCTCCCCCAAACAGGTGCATGGCATGCGCATAGCCCTGAGGGGCGAGCACCGGCGGCTGGCGTTCATGCAGATAGACGGGGAGCCGTGGGAGCAGCCGCTCAGTGTGGGCAGCCGCGAGCCCACCAACATTGAGATCGTGCCCCGCCCCATCCAATCCGATATGGTCGCTCCCCCCTCCTGCCGCCTCTTTGCTGATGCTGCCGCTGCTCCTGCGGAGTAGGAGGCTTTTTCGGGTGACTCTGTTTTGAGACGTCTCAAAACTATGCTGCTGATGCTGCTGCTGCGGAGTAGGAGGCTTCCGGGTGACTCTGTGGACTCGGCATGTGTTTGAGGGAGGGAGGGGGGGGGAGGGGAGGTGGTGGGAGGGGAGGGTACTGACCTGGCCTTGTCACAGGTGTGTGGAAATGAAAGTAGGTAGCAGGGCACGCACTACTAGTACCTACTGGCAGTGCCTCTGTGGAGCAGCAGCAGCGGTAGCAGCAGCAATGGCTGCAGAAACCGTGACAGCACCAGCGCCACTGGTTAGCTACAGTAACTGCCTCAGCAGGTGGAATCTGGAGATCCCATCCCGTTCCGAACAATGATTTATAATTTGGTCTGGTGGGGATCGCATACTCTTGTACGGTAGGAGACTACTAGTCTTTTGTCTGGTCTGGTCGCAGGGTTCAGGGGTACGGTGGGAAATCGTGGTAGGTCTAGACTGCTAGCAAACTGGGGGTTTGGGTTCGGTCTGGTGGTGTAGAATGTGTGTTCGTTCTACATGTGGTAGCTTTAGTGGGGTGGGTGGGGGGTGTAATAATCTTATGCAGTCAAGGTGCTGCTCTGATCATGAGTCATGACATGATAGAACCAGGTACGGTATGTGAATTGCCTAGTACCGTGTAGGCAATGGTTGATTGACTAGTTTGATTAAATTTATACAGCTGCAAGTGTTTTCTCATACAGTACCCTTCCAACTGCACCTACCGTATTAATACCTGTACCTTATCCATCCATCCATCCACCCACCACAACTACAGGTTGCCCTGTATACTAAACAACACCTATCAGGCTATCACCCTCGGATTGCCTTACCAGAATCCACCATTCCCCACATGTAGAACGACACAACACAAATGTGGAAGGTCTACTTCTTCCACCACACCACACTGTTCTGTTCTGTTCCGGTTTGAGAGAGTTCATGCACAGCAGCACACATGCACAACCACACCACACTGTCTCTCTCTCCCCTCCTTGGGATTATATTGTAACAAGAAGTTGCAATGCGCGCTAGTTTGTAACAACATTGCATCCCCTGGCTGCTGCAGCTTGTACGGGGAAGCTGACACCGACGTTGCTTGGTGAGGTAGAGGCAGAAACGAGATGGCTTAAAACGAGCACAGGAGTGAACAGGTGCTGGAGAGGAGGAAGGAAGAAAGGGGGTGGGATCGAGGGGAGACAGAGAGAGAAGGAAAGAAGGGAGGGAGAGGTGCAGGGAGGGTGGGATTGGTGGCCTTGGTTCCGAGGTACCCGCAAATCAGTGGTGGTGGTAGAGAAACAAGTGCATTCAGGGATGAATGGACCCAGGATTGGAGTGGTATAATGCAGGGTGGAGTGGTTTCGGTAGGGCCGTTGGTGATGTGGCATGCCGATATGAAAATGTGGCGTAAGGACTGACATAACTTCTGGATATGACGTGGTTTCCACCAAAGGAAAGCCTAACCCTCTGGGAAAGGGTTTGACGAGCCGAGTGCACATGGGGGGAGGATGGCGGGATGGTGGTAGGTGCGTGGGGGGGATGGGTTGAAGGTGGTGGGAGAATGGGGGAAGTTGCACGCTGAGGGTTTCAGGCACTTCAGGCGTCACAAAAGTGCGAGGTACAGGGGTAGTGCTGCTGCTTCAGCTGCAGTTACTTCTGCTACTGCTACTGCTGCTGCTGTTGGTGCCACGGGGGTGCATCAGTGGCGGCGTTGGAATAAGCCCAGACGCTGCTGCGGAAGCTGCTGTTACTGCTGCTGCTGTGGCTTCTGCGACGGCCGCTGCTGTTGCTGCGCCCTCGCGTACTGCTCAAACCTCTGCAGGTCACTCCTTAACGTTGCCTGGCGGCGAGAGAGTAAGCACGACACAGAACGCGACAGCGGGGAGGACGGACAGAACGGAATGCAGCATGTTTGATTGGGAGGGTTATGGTGGTAGTACAGGGAGAACAGAAGCAGGCATGAAGCGGGTAAGGAGGGCGTGTGCTTGAGGTGGATAAGTGGTCAGCACTAGCAGGCAGTAAGAATTTGGCAGGCAGGCAAGACACAGCAACGAAAGTGTGACTTTCTACAAAAAACATACCAACTGGACAAAAAACCCATCCGGTCCTCAAACCCCTTCCTCACATCCACCAACCACCTGCTCCCCAAAACCCCTCCACTCCTACCCACCCACACACACAATTACCCATGGTACCCTGCCAGTGTCCATCCAGCAGCAAGAGCACGGGCTAAATCGCGCGTTACTGATTGTTGAAGGTCAGGAGGCAAAAGCAGGGGGCATGGCATGTGACGTCGCACCTAGATAAGAGCAGGTTTTGAGGTGCCTCAAAAGGTTTTGAGGCGCCAAAGGGCAGGGAGCATGTCCTGTGATGTCGCACCTGGATAAGAGCAGAGAGAGCCCGCTCACTCATGATCCGAGCCAGTGACCGCGGTAGCTGATGCCATATCTGTGCTTGTTGCCATGCCGTGAGGTAACCATGCCATGCGGTAACCATGCCATGCGGTAACCATGCCATGCGGTAACCATGCCATGCAGTAACCATGTCATGTGGTAACCATGCCATGTAGTAACCATGCCATGCGGTAACCATGCCATGCGGCATCCATGCCAGGTGGTGACCATGCCATGTAGTAACCATGCCATGCGGTAACCACACAATCCAGTAACACACGCACAAGGGGATGTCAGATAGTGACTCTAGCTGCATAGCACAGTCAAGGGAGGAGATGCAGAGCATGGCATGGCATGGCATGGAGGGCGGTATGGCATGGCATGCAATGAGATGAGATAAAATGAGATGTGGTGAGGTGGAGCCATGGTGGGCGGTATAGCATGGCATGCAAAGCGGTGGAGTGCGGTGAGCAGGGAGGCACATTGTACTGCATGCAGCAAGTAGGCAAGTCTGCATGTGGGAATGTGGGCATGTGTGCATGTGGGCATGTGTGCATGTGGGCATGTGTGCATGTGTGCATGTGGGCATGTGTGCATGTGTGCATGTGGGCATGTGGGCATGTGTGCATGTGTGCATGTGTGCATGTGGGCATGTGTGCATGTGTGCATGTGGGCATGTGGGCATGTGTGCATGTGGGCATGTGTGCATGTGTGCATGTGGGCATGTGTGCATGTGTGCATGTGGGCATGTGGGCATGTGTGCATGTGGGCATGTGGGCATGTGGGCATGTGTGCATGTGTGCATGTGGGCATGTGGGCATGTGTGCATGTGGGCATGTGTGCATGTGGGCATGTGTGCATGTGTGCATGTGGGCATGTGGGCATGTGTGCATGTGGGCATGTGGGCATGTGTGCATGTGTGCATGTGGGCATGTGTGCATGTGTGCATGTGGGCATGTGGGCATGTGTGCATGTGGGCATGTGTGCATGTGTGCATGTGGGCATGTGTGCATGTGTGCATGTGGGCATGTGGGCATGTGTGCATGTGGGCATGTGTGCATGTGGGAATGTGGGAATGTGGGCATGTGGGCATGTGTGCATGTGTGCATGTGTGCATGTGGGCATGTGGGCATGTGGGCATGTGGGCATGTGGGCATGTGGGCATGTGGGCATGTGTGCATGTGGGCATGTGGGCATGTGTGCATGTGGGCATGTGGGCATGTGGGCATGTGTGCATGTGTGCATGTGGGCATGTGGGCATGTGTGCATGTGTGCATGTGGGCATGTGGGCATGTGGGCATGTGGGCATGTGTGCATGTGGGCATGTGGGCATGTGTGCATGTGGGCATGTGGGCATGTGTGCATGTGGGCATGTGTGCATGTGTGCATGTGGGCATGTGTGCATGTGGGCATGTGTGCATGTGGGCATGTGTGCATGTGTGCATGTGGGCATGTGTGCATGTGTGCATGTGGGCATGTGGGCATGTGGGCATGTGGGCATGTGTGCATGTGGGCATGTGTGCATGTGTGCATGTGTGCATGTGGGCATGTGGGCATGTGTGCATGTGTGCATGTGGGCATGTGGGCATGTGGGCATGTGGGCATGTGTGCATGTGGGCATGTGGGCATGTGTGCATGTGGGCATGTGGGCATGTGGGCATGTGTGCATGTGTGCATGTGGGCATGTGGGCATGTGTGCATGTGTGCATGTGGGCATGTGGGCATGTGGGCATGTGGGCATGTGTGCATGTGGGCATGTGGGCATGTGTGCATGTGGGCATGTGGGCATGTGTGCATGTGGGCATGTGTGCATGTGTGCATGTGGGCATGTGTGCATGTGGGCATGTGTGCATGTGGGCATGTGTGCATGTGTGCATGTGGGCATGTGTGCATGTGTGCATGTGGGCATGTGGGCATGTGTGCATGTGTGCATGTGTGCATGTGGGCATGTGTGCATGTGTGCATGTGGGCATGTGGGCATGTGTGCATGTGGGCATGTGTGCATGTGTGCATGTGGGCATGTGTGCATGTGTGCATGTGGGCATGTGGGCATGTGTGCATGTGGGCATGTGGGCATGTGTGCATGTGTGCATGTGTGCATGTGGGCATGTGTGCATGTGTGCATGTGGGCATGTGGGCATGTGTGCATGTGGGCATGTGTGCATGTGTGCATGTGGGCATGTGTGCATGTGTGCATGTGGGCATGTGGGCATGTGTGCATGTGTGCATGTGTGCATGTGGGCATGTGTGCATGTGTGCATGTGGGCATGTGGGCATGTGTGCATGTGGGCATGTGTGCATGTGGGCATGTGTGCATGTGGGCATGTGGGCATGTGTGCATGTGGGCATGTGTGCATGTGGGAATGTGGGAATGTGGGCATGTGGGCATGTGTGCATGTGTGCATGTGGGCATGTGGGCATGTGTGCATGTGTGCATGTGGGCATGTGGGCATGTGTGCATGTGTGCATGTGGGCATGTGGGCATGTGGGCATGTGGGCATGTGTGCATGTGGGCATGTGGGCATGTGTGCATGTGGGCATGTGGGCATGTGGGCATGTGTGCATGTGTGCATGTGGGCATGTGGGCATGTGTGCATGTGTGCATGTGGGCATGTGGGCATGTGGGCATGTGGGCATGTGTGCATGTGGGCATGTGGGCATGTGTGCATGTGGGCATGTGGGCATGTGTGCATGTGGGCATGTGTGCATGTGGGCATGTGGGCATGTGTGCATGTGGGCATGTGGGCATGTGTGCATGTGTGCATGTGGGCATGTGGGCATGTGGGCATGTGGGCATGTGTGCATGTGGGCATGTGGGCATGTGTGCATGTGGGCATGTGTGCATGTGGGCATGTGTGCATGTGGGCATGTGGGCATGTGTGCATGTGTGCATGTGGGCATGTGGGCATGTGTGCATGTGGGCATGTGTGCATGTGGGCATGTGGGCATGTGTGCATGTGGGCATGTGGGCATGTGTGCATGTGTGCATGTGGGCATGTGGGCATGTGGGCATGTGGGCATGTGTGCATGTGGGCATGTGGGCATGTGTGCATGTGTGCATGTGGGCATGTGGGCATGTGTGCATGTGGGCATGTGTGCATGTGGGCATGTGGGCATGTGGGCATGTGGGCATGTGTGCATGTGGGCATGTGTGCATGTGGGCATGTGGGCATGTGTGCATGTGGGCATGTGGGCATGTGTGCATGTGTGCATGTGGGCATGTGGGCATGTGGGCATGTGGGCATGTGTGCATGTGGGCATGTGGGCATGTGTGCATGTGTGCATCTGGGCATGTGGGCATGTGTGCATGTGGGCATGTGTGCATGTGGGCATGTGGGCATGTGTGCATGTGGGCATGTGGGCATGTGTGCATGTGTGCATGTGGGCATGTGGGCATGTGTGGGCATGTGTGCATGTGGGCATGTGTGCATGTGTGCATGTGTGCATGTGGGCATGTGGGCATGTGTGCATGTGGGCATGTGTGCATGTGGGCATGTGGGCATGTGTGCATGTGGGCATGTGGGCATGTGTGCATGTGTGCATGTGGGCATGTGGGCATGTGTGCATGTGGGCATGTGTGCATGTGGGCATGTGGGCATGTGGGCATGTGGGCATGTGGGCATGTGTGCATGTGGGCATGTGGGCATGTGTGCATGTGTGCATGTGGGCATGTGGGCATGTGTGCATGTGGGCATGTGTGCATGTGTGCATGTGGGCATGTGTGCATGTGGGCATGTGGGCATGTGTGCATGTGGGCATGTGTGCATGTGGGCATGTGTGCATGTGGGCATGTGTGCATGTGGGCATGTGGGCATGTGTGCATGTGTGCATGTGGGCATGTGGGCATGTGTGCATGTGGGCATGTGTGCATGTGGGCATGTGGGCATGTGTGCATGTGGGCATGTGGGCATGTGTGCATGTGTGCATGTGGGCATGTGGGCATGTGTGCATGTGGGCATGTGTGCATGTGGGCATGTGTGCATGTGGGCATGTGTGCATGTGGGCATGTGGGCATGTGTGCATGTGTGCATGTGGGAATGTGGGCATGTGGGCATGTGGGCATGTGTGCATGTGGGCATGTGTGCATGTGTGCATGTGGGCATGTGTGCATGTGTGCATGTGGGCATGTGGGCATGTGTGCATGTGGGCATGTGTGCATGTGGGCATGTGGGCATGTGTGCATGTGGGCATGTGGGCATGTGTGCATGTGTGCATGTGGGCATGTGGGCATGTGGGCATGTGGGCATGTGTGCATGTGGGCATGTGGGCATGTGTGCATGTGGGCATGTGTGCATGTGGGCATGTGTGCATGTGGGCATGTGGGCATGTGTGCATGTGTGCATGTGGGCATGTGGGCATGTGTGCATGTGGGCATGTGTGCATGTGGGCATGTGGGCATGTGTGCATGTGGGCATGTGGGCATGTGTGCATGTGTGCATGTGGGCATGTGGGCATGTGGGCATGTGGGCATGTGTGCATGTGGGCATGTGTGCATGTGTGCATGTGTGCATGTGGGCATGTGGGCATGTGTGCATGTGGGCATGTGTGCATGTGGGCATGTGGGCATGTGTGCATGTGGGCATGTGTGCATGTGGGCATGTGGGCATGTGGGCATGTGGGCATGTGTGCATGTGGGCATGTGTGCATGTGTGCATGTGGGCATGTGTGCATGTGTGCATGTGGGCATGTGGGCATGTGTGCATGTGGGCATGTGTGCATGTGGGCATGTGGGCATGTGGGCATGTGGGCATGTGTGCATGTGGGCATGTGGGCATGTGGGCATGTGGGCATGTGTGCATGTGGGCATGTGGGCATGTGTGCATGTGGGCATGTGTGCATGTGGGCATGTGTGCATGTGGGCATGTGGGCATGTGTGCATGTGTGCATGTGGGCATGTGGGCATGTGGGCATGTGGGCATGTGTGCATGTGGGCATGTGGGCATGTGTGCATGTGTGCATGTGGGCATGTGGGCATGTGTGCATGTGGGCATGTGTGCATGTGGGCATGTGGGCATGTGGGCATGTGGGCATGTGTGCATGTGGGCATGTGTGCATGTGGGCATGTGGGCATGTGTGCATGTGGGCATGTGGGCATGTGTGCATGTGTGCATGTGGGCATGTGGGCATGTGGGCATGTGGGCATGTGTGCATGTGGGCATGTGGGCATGTGTGCATGTGTGCATGTGGGCATGTGGGCATGTGTGCATGTGGGCATGTGTGCATGTGGGCATGTGGGCATGTGTGCATGTGGGCATGTGGGCATGTGTGCATGTGTGCATGTGGGCATGTGGGCATGTGTGCATGTGGGCATGTGTGCATGTGGGCATGTGTGCATGTGTGCATGTGTGCATGTGGGCATGTGGGCATGTGTGCATGTGGGCATGTGTGCATGTGGGCATGTGGGCATGTGTGCATGTGGGCATGTGGGCATGTGTGCATGTGTGCATGTGGGCATGTGGGCATGTGTGCATGTGGGCATGTGTGCATGTGGGCATGTGGGCATGTGGGCATGTGGGCATGTGGGCATGTGTGCATGTGGGCATGTGGGCATGTGTGCATGTGTGCATGTGGGCATGTGGGCATGTGTGCATGTGGGCATGTGTGCATGTGTGCATGTGGGCATGTGTGCATGTGGGCATGTGGGCATGTGTGCATGTGGGCATGTGTGCATGTGGGCATGTGTGCATGTGGGCATGTGTGCATGTGGGCATGTGGGCATGTGTGCATGTGTGCATGTGGGCATGTGGGCATGTGTGCATGTGGGCATGTGTGCATGTGGGCATGTGGGCATGTGTGCATGTGGGCATGTGGGCATGTGTGCATGTGTGCATGTGGGCATGTGGGCATGTGTGCATGTGGGCATGTGTGCATGTGGGCATGTGTGCATGTGGGCATGTGTGCATGTGGGCATGTGGGCATGTGTGCATGTGTGCATGTGGGAATGTGGGCATGTGGGCATGTGGGCATGTGTGCATGTGGGCATGTGTGCATGTGTGCATGTGGGCATGTGTGCATGTGTGCATGTGGGCATGTGGGCATGTGTGCATGTGGGCATGTGTGCATGTGGGCATGTGGGCATGTGTGCATGTGGGCATGTGGGCATGTGTGCATGTGTGCATGTGGGCATGTGGGCATGTGGGCATGTGGGCATGTGTGCATGTGGGCATGTGGGCATGTGTGCATGTGGGCATGTGTGCATGTGGGCATGTGTGCATGTGGGCATGTGGGCATGTGTGCATGTGTGCATGTGGGCATGTGTGCATGTGGGCATGTGGGCATGTGTGCATGTGTGCATGTGGGCATGTGGGCATGTGGGCATGTGGGCATGTGTGCATGTGGGCATGTGTGCATGTGTGCATGTGTGCATGTGGGCATGTGGGCATGTGTGCATGTGGGCATGTGTGCATGTGGGCATGTGGGCATGTGTGCATGTGGGCATGTGTGCATGTGGGCATGTGGGCATGTGGGCATGTGGGCATGTGTGCATGTGGGCATGTGTGCATGTGTGCATGTGGGCATGTGTGCATGTGTGCATGTGGGCATGTGGGCATGTGTGCATGTGGGCATGTGTGCATGTGGGCATGTGGGCATGTGTGCATGTGGGCATGTGGGCATGTGTGCATGTGTGCATGTGGGCATGTGGGCATGTGGGCATGTGGGCATGTGTGCATGTGGGCATGTGGGCATGTGTGCATGTGGGCATGTGTGCATGTGGGCATGTGTGCATGTGGGCATGTGGGCATGTGTGCATGTGTGCATGTGGGCATGTGGGCATGTGTGCATGTGGGCATGTGTGCATGTGGGCATGTGGGCATGTGTGCATGTGGGCATGTGGGCATGTGTGCATGTGTGCATGTGGGCATGTGGGCATGTGGGCATGTGGGCATGTGTGCATGTGGGCATGTGGGCATGTGTGCATGTGTGCATGTGTGCATGTGGGCATGTGTGCATGTGGGCATGTGGGCATGTGTGCATGTGGGCATGTGGGCATGTGTGCATGTGTGCATGTGGGCATGTGGGCATGTGTGCATGTGGGCATGTGTGCATGTGGGCATGTGTGCATGTGGGCATGTGGGCATGTGGGCATGTGTGCATGTGGGCATGTGGGCATGTGTGCATGTGGGCATGTGGGCATGTGTGCATGTGTGCATGTGGGCATGTGGGCATGTGTGCATGTGGGCATGTGTGCATGTGGGCATGTGGGCATGTGGGCATGTGTGCATGTGGGCATGTGTGCATGTGGGCATGTGTGCATGTGGGCATGTGTGCATGTGGGCATGTGGGCATGTGTGCATGTGTGCATGTGGGCATGTGGGCATGTGTGCATGTGGGCATGTGTGCATGTGGGCATGTGGGCATGTGTGCATGTGGGCATGTGGGCATGTGTGCATGTGGGCATGTGGGCATGTGTGCATGTGTGCATGTGGGCATGTGGGCATGTGTGCATGTGGGCATGTGTGCATGTGGGCATGTGTGCATGTGGGCATGTGGGCATGTGTGCATGTGTGCATGTGGGCATGTGGGCATGTGTGCATGTGGGCATGTGTGCATGTGGGCATGTGTGCATGTGGGCATGTGGGCATGTGTGCATGTGTGCATGTGGGCATGTGGGCATGTGTGCATGTGGGCATGTGTGCATGTGGGCATGTGGGCATGTGGGCATGTGGGCATGTGTGCATGTGGGCATGTGTGCATGTGGGCATGTGGGCATGTGTGCATGTGTGCATGTGGGCATGTGGGCATGTGTGCATGTGGGCATGTGTGCATGTGGGCATGTGGGCATGTGTGCATGTGGGCATGTGGGCATGTGTGCATGTGGGCATGTGTGCATGTGGGCATGTGGGACTGTGGGCATGTGGGCGCGTAGGCAGGAGGGTATTTGGGATTGAGGCAAGCAAAAAATCTCACAAGAGACTCACGAAGCGACAGCTTGTGAAGCAAAATAAATTTAGAAGAAGCAGCATGGCCAAGGGAGCGGATAAGGACGAGAACAGAGTAATAAGGCAGACAGAGTATGGCACTCACAAGCAGCTCCATCTGACTCCCTCTGCTGCTATTGCTGCTGCTGTTGCTGCTGCTGGCAGGGCTGCTGCTACTGCCTACACCACTGCTACTGAACCCCTCCCCCATATCCTCCCCCTCCTGTGCTGAGCTGGCAGCATCTCGGATGGTGACCTGTCCGCGGCAGGGAATGCCCTCCACTGTCTGCCACGTCAGCACGCGGTCGGGCGGCGAATCACTTAGCCGCATCACACGGGCTGTCCAGGACACCTGCGGGCAGAGAAGAGGGAGTGACAGACGTGGACGGAGAAATGTGAAGTGGATGAGATGAGGAGGAGGCGGGGCTTCAATTTGAGGCATCTCAAAAGAGGATGTATAAAGGGAGGGGGTATTTGAGTTGAGAGAGGGCGCATGCATGCATGTGAAGGAAGGAGGTGGTACGGGGAGGGCAACAAGAGCAGAGCAGGGCTTGAATTTAAGGCGACGAGCGGTCGGATCGGGTGGGATAGCTTGGAGGCAGATGGTGAAAGCAGATCGGATAGGTACCTCAAAGCCAGTGGTGCAGCAGATCCATCGGGACAGCTGTATGCGGTGCTGCAGATCGCCCCCCGCCTCTGCTGCTGCCGCCCCTGCTGCCCCTGCTGCCCCTGCTGCCCCCGCTGCCCCCGCTGCCCCCGCTGCCCCCGCTGCCCCCGCTGCTCCTGCTTCTGCTCCTGCTTCTGATTCTGATTCTGATCCTGATTCTGATTCTGATTCTGATTCTGATTCTGCTGTGGTTGTTCCCGATGCTAGGAGATCACTGCTGAAAAGGTTATCTGCTGCTGAGTGCTCCAGGTGCCCAGCAGGTAGCAGCTCCACCCGTTGAATCCATTTCATCCTGCCACCACCCCACCCACCCACCCACATACCCACCCACCCACCCACAATGGCCAGCCAACGGGCGAGGCAAGGCCTCAAAAACGCATTGTGAAGAGCATCAATTCGAAGGCAAATAGCACAAGGGACACAACAGGAGCACACACACTCTTGCTTGCAATCACATACCCACACACCCCTCCACCCACACACCCTACGCTACCTCCTCTATTCTCCTCCCTTCCTTCCCATTTCTCCAACCCCCATCACGACTTCACTCCACATCATCCCCTTTCCCCAATCCCCCCTGCGCCATACCCTACTTCCCTTAGTTTTCCTCGCCCACCGCCCTTAGAAACCTTACCACTAGGGAGCTTGTTCCAGTTCCACCCACAGCTGCCCCTCTGGAGACACCTCAAAAGTCCAACCCCCCCCCCCCCCCCCCCCCCCCTCTCCCCTCCCCCCCCACCCCACCCACACTCACACACACCGCTCTTACCACTTGGGCGCCTGTTCCAAGTCCACCCACAGCTGCCACGCCACGTCAGCAGGCACTGATAGGTCCATTTCCACCCGATGGTCAAATTCCATGTCTCCCCAGTCCTCCACTCCGCCCCCTCCTCCCCCTCCCTCACTCCCTCCTCCCGTTCCCCTGTCCTTCCCTGCCCCGCTCTCCCCCGCACCCATTCGACCCAGCGCAAACATACGAGATATTCCAGACATCTCTCCTTCCCCGTCTCCCTCCGCCGTTGCTTCAACCTCTCCCCCTTTTCCCTCCCCATTCCCCTCACCCTTTCCCTCATCCTTCCGCTCGGCCTTCCCCACTCCAGCAGCCACCCCCGCCGCGTCCCCGGCGCTGCCACTGCTCGCAGCGGCAAAAGCCGCGGCCACTGCAGCAGGAGACAACCTTCCTGCGGCGGCTGCTGTAGGCACGTGGGCAGGTGCATGTGCTGCTGCCGCTGCTGCTCCTTGTGCTGCTGCATCGGCTGCTGCAGCAGCAACGCCACCTGAAGATGAAGAGGCGCCTGCGTGACCTGGAGGGGCGGCTGCGTGCGCGGCAGCACGCGGGGAGCGCAGGGGGCGCAGGGGACGCGGGTGGAAGGCCTTCCGCGCGCCCCCCGCCTGCCGCCGCTGGCCGCCTGCGGTGGACGGGGCATGGCCGTCTGGTGTGGGTGCGAGCGGGAGGGGGAGGAGGGGGAGGGCGAAGAGGGTTTCGGGGATGGTGAGGAAGGGCGGTGTTGGTGTATGGGGAGAAAGCAGGAGGCGGACGGGACGGAGGAGGGTGGGCGCGGGGGAGTCCGAAGATGAGAATTTGGTGTGGGGGGGGGGAAGGTGTGAAGAAGAGGAAAGGAGGGGAGGTGAGGAGAGGTCGTGGGAGAAAAGACTGTGAGTGAAACAAGAGAGACGTCTTGTGTGAGGCTCTGAAACAGCGACAGTGGGTTTGGAACGGGGAGGGGAGGGGAGGGAGGGGCTAAGACGACGCAGAAAGACGACTGGCACGTGGAAAGGACGACGCAAAAGGACTGACGAGTGAATGTAACCTAAGCGGCGCGCCGGCGCACCTGCGGCGTCCGCCAGTCTCCCAGTGCTCGCAGTCAACCCCGCATGCGCCGCAGCGCCGGTGGGCGCTCGAGCGCCCGACCGCACGTACCGACTCGCTCTCCCCGCTGCGCCCCCTGCGCTCGCATATCCTCCGCGCGCGGGTGCCGGCGTCGCATCGTCACGCCGTCGTGCCGTGTCGGACGGCGGCGCGTCCCTCAGCACGCGAACCGCTCTTCGATGTGGATTAGTCGGCTCGCCGCCGCCTCCGTTGCCACCGCCGTCGCCGTTGCCGCCGCCGTCGCCGCCGTCGCTACGGTCGCCATCACTGTTGCGATCCACGCCAAGCGCGCCCGCATCCGCTGCCCCCGCCGCCGCTGCAACCGGCTCTCCTCGAGAACCTACCGCTGCTGTCGCCGCTGCGTCGTTGGCGGAAGGTGGTCCGCCGCCGCGTTTCCGCCACCCCTGAGCGAGCGGAGATCCTGCGGGTTCGGCCGCAAAGGTAAGGTGGTCGAAACTGCCCACGCGGACGGACACGACGCGGCGGAAGGAATGGCGCGGAAAAGCGGCAGTCGTAGCCGCGCACTGGAGGGGAAGCGGAAGCGGAGGCGGAAGCGGGAGCGGGAGAGGCGAGGGCAATTGCGGAGTCGCCAACGGCGTCATCCCTGCTGCTACTGCTGCTGTTGCTGCTGCTGATGATGGTGGTCGTCTTACTCTCCCTACAACTCTTCTTCCCGCGGAGCCCGCACCAGCTGCTGCTGCTACTGCTGCTGCTGATGGTACTGATGGTGCTGCTGCTAATGGTGGTGGTGCGGGCGGCAACGGCATCGCATAAATGCTACATAGATTTTCGCACGCGCGTTATGAGGGCTCTGTTTGGTGCATTGCGATCCAAAACGGTAAAAAGCCGCAGTTTGCTGCGTGCTTAGGGCGGGTCATAATCATCACACCTCAGGTCAAATTTGAAACAGTAACCTTTCGTGTAGGGTAACCGCGTCGCCTATATTCAAACCTGGCCGGTTCGGAGGGGGATTACACCGACTCAACACACCGATCACACGATCGGCAGGCATGCGGTGTGCCAACCTGTAAATGTGCAATCGCGCAAGTCCGACCGAGCCCAGGGTACCAAGATCAATGTTTGCCGTGCGTTTTGTTGCAGTATTTGTGTGTTTCGCGCAGTGTCACCATGTCGGTGTGTCGACGAGGCCATCAATCGTCGAAACCGCGGTCGAAAGGTTCGAAAGGACAAGGTGCAAGTGCAAATATCGCAGGATCATCTGCAAATATCGAGCCCCACAATCGAGTGGGCAGATCGATTGGCGAAACGTGGCGACCGCGACGTTGTAACGATCGCCCCTTTAGAATTGACAGATCTCCCGCAATCAGTGATCAGTTGCATTCGCACACTGTACAAAAAATTTGGCAAAAAAGAGTACTGTAGTATGATTACAGCATAGTAAATAGGGTAACCGATTCCCACATCGATCGCTACTGACGATCGATCGTCTACTCTTTCCGCGTCCTAAAGACATGTTTACTGTAGACTCGCCACATTCGGCGAGATCAAGAAACGTGGTGAACTACGTCGCTACAGTTGTTTGTCCCCTCTCCAGATCGATCCCACCCCAGGACTGAACGTAGGAAACGCGTCGTAAAATATGACAGCTAGTAGAAGGGGAAAGAGGTAGCGAGGAATGAACGTGTAGAGATCTTCGAAAGAAACTACGGAGGAGTGTTTCGATGCGGGATTGAAGGCAAGAGGAATATAGAAAGGTTGAGAATGGTTTTGGAGCACAGGCCATGTATGCCCTCCATACAAGCTCCACGCTAACCAACCTGTTCTGTTCCAGAGGCAGAGGATGCAACCGAACAAAAAACATAAAACCCAGTTCTAGGTTGGGGAATGGGGACAAAAGTGAAGGTTTCGGGGAGGGGAGTGTAGCGCACTGGTAACAAGGTTCGTTATTTTTGAAGAACTCGCCGAAAAGGAAGGCATGCTGTTGTGATGCAGTTTCCAAGTGGTGCGGCGGATATGCTTTGCTGGCGCTTATGAGTTGGCATCGCGACAGATCTTCACTGACGTGGACGCGAAATATCTTCGGCAAGGAGCAAGCAGCCGCTCTGTCAATACCTATGTTATTAGGGCAAATGCCCTGACTTTCAAGGGGCAGAGTGAACAAACTTGTCAAACTGGAGTGCCAACATTATGGTGCAAATGCCAATGTAGCAAAATTCTTGGTTGATTTTTCGTTGTTCTGTTTGTGCCACGTTTCCGAACACACCCCATTGACTGATGTTTTTTTGCTGCAACAATCTTCGATAAAGCACGGATTCTTGTGGTTGTCATGTTCCAACTAAAATCCCCATATAAGGTGCGTAAGAAAAGCAGTGCGCACTTGAGATAAGAGAAGTACATCATTGAAAGATACCAACGTTCAAACGACAATCAGACAATACAATAATTATTTTGTTGGAAAAAATATAATATTCATCCAAACGTGCCATAATATAATAGGTTGCATGCTAAAATTTTCTTCAGATACGCGACTCCATAAGTCATCCTCTTATATGGGAAAACTGTGCTTATCCTTGTTAGAATTTATATGTAACTGCCTGTAGCTGTAGTTTAGTGTAGTTATTATAAACTGTTGGTGGTGCACCTTCTTTGCATGCTCTGTTTACTATATGTACCCTAGTGCTATAGTGAACATCACTTTTCCCATTCTCGACTCTCACCTTGGCACAACCTCCTCGACTTCCCCTAGGCCTAGGCTACTAAGCCTAGGCCCTACCTAAAACCTAAGCTTACTCTTACTTAGTAACTCAACATGGCATTAGAGCGAGTT